GACCAACAGCATTCAATCTCAGAACCTTATGATCATCTCCCAAGTGTGGAATATGGGATCTACTCACCCTCTAGGACATCCCACCAGCGCCGCCCCCCTTTCCCTCAAGGTTGCACAGGGCAAGTTTGGATTTTCCTTTTCTCCTGACCTAGTGAGCCTCTGGAATCTTCCAGTGGAGTTCCTTCTTGAGAGTCAAGTGCAGGGCTGCCGTTAAGCCAAGAGCCACATTTAACCCAGGCAGAGACCCTCCTGCTTCAGCCTCTCAAGTGCTGGGATTAAAGTCTTGTGCTACCACAGCTTGGCTCCCTTGAGATTTTTAGGAAGACGTTTAGCAAAGTATTCATTACGAGTCTACTTCTATGGACTTCTATCTCACCTTCATATTCCAGCCTCAAGCCTTTACTGACATCTCCATATGGTGGTTTTGAAGAAATACGACTGTAACTTATCATTTGTTCCTTTGTGGCACCACTGATCCAGGTGCTATGGAATCAGCAGTGAATAAGATAGAATTTATCCTTATAGAACAAACAAACAAGCAAAAAGTAATGAAGGACGGTTTCCTTGTAAACCCTGCCACTATCAAAAATTAACTTAACATGAGTTGGCCGGTGGTGGCGCATGCCTTTAATCCCAGCACTCCGGAGGCAGATGCAGGCGGATCTCTGTGAATTCGAGCCAGCTTGGTCTACAGAGCATTCTAGGACAGGCTCCAAAGCTACACGGAAACTCTGCCTCAAAAATTCGAAAGAAAACGAATAACTTAACAGGTCCAAACAGTTGTTTGCCTCATCTGCTCCAGGGGGCGCTAGAGTTTCCGCCAATCGGAATTGCCGCTCTAGGCTGCACCAAGCCTTAGTATCTGTACTTCCGCCGGCGCCCATCGTGAAGAGTGAAGCTTCCTGTCGCGTGGACGTGCTTGCTTTGTGGCCAGTGCCATCCACCGAAATCTGTGGACATCTCGCGTGCTTCGGGCCTGTCTGCTCCTCTGCCCAGTGTAGAGCGCCACGGTGAGTGCAGCGGGGCACGAGGGCAGCGCCGTCCCCTCAGTGGGGCAACCGAGGCCGGCGGGCAGTCAGTGCACAGCGGGCCTGGGTGCGGAGGAGGGCGCCGAGCCCAGTGCTTTTCGTGTCCCAGCCCTCAGCCTTTGCGTTGTGGTTTCCGAAGCACCAAACTCATGCCTGTCGCCCACACAAAGCCGGTCGTTGTTTACGACCTGTGTCCCACGGTTTTAGAATCCTTCCACGGCGAACCCCTGGGCCAGGGTTTAAGTTCAGGACGCTCCCAGGACCCCTGGCGCAGCGTCCCGGAGGCCTGCCTTGCACTGCAGCCCTAACCTTGTGCTTTCTTGTCAGGCCCGTAGGCTGTGCACCCTCCTGGAAACCGATGGGAGCTCCATGGGTCCACAGATTACGGCTTCTGCCGCAGCTGGGGCCCCCTACTCTCTTCAACTCCCTAGTGGGCGCCCACTGCCCAGGGAGGGGATGCTTGGGTAAGTGCTGCGACACGGATGCCTCTGCATGGCCTTCCGGTGGACACCGGCAGAGTGGGGTGGAGTTCAGAGAAGCCTGGCGGGGGCCAGAAAGACCAAAGGCCAGATGGCTGATGTTAAGTTTCAAACGGGTCAGACAGCTGAGGTGCCTGTTAAGCAGACCTGGCCTCCAGGTTTCTCCCAGCATCCCTCGGTCTCTACCTGTTACAGGGTATGGCTGGCTGGCATACCCCTCCCTCCACCCTAAACTCTACAGCCCATATGATCTTCCCTGAATAATCCAGACATTTTGTTACCCACCGTTTTTGGGCCTTTGGGCCTCCTGGCTGCTGCACCTGGGCCCCCTCTCTTACTTTCCCGACCCCCTTCCCACGTGGCCCAGCTCAGTCTGATCATAGCCACTCTGGATTCTGTAACAGTGCTCTCCTCATAGCTATAATAGACTTTTTCCTCCACCGTATCCAGGAGCAGTCACGTCCTTAATTTTCCTTCTTGTCTTTTGTTGTTGTTTGTTTGGGTTTGGTTTGGTTTTTCGAGACAGGGTTTCTCTGTATTGCTTTGGAGGCCCTCCTGGAACTCGATCTGTAGACCAGGCTGGCCTCAAACTCACAGATCTGCCTGCCTCTGCCTTCAGAGTGCTGGGATCAAAGGCGTGCCCACCAATGCCTGGCCCTTTACTTTCCTTATTTCTTTTTTTCATTCAGTTTTTAAGCCACTGACAGACCACAGAATGGCAAGACTCTGGGGACAGTTCAGGTCCATGTTGCATAGTGGGAATCCCTTATAGATTTCAAAGGAAATGGAGACGTGAGAGTCCTTGCCACATGGTTTGCTGGCCCGGCAGCTTCTGTGTCTGGTACGCTGGATGCTATTCAGATGGCTCACCTGGGCTTATTGTTTGCAGAAATAACAGCTTGGGTGTCTCCATCCTGTCAGACTGATGGACCATGGTGCTCCTGAGTGACGATCGTCCCCTGGCATCTGGAGGTCTGTGTCCCACGTGAATATGTGCAGTTTCCCAAATTGCATTTGAGTGTGTAGAGGTGAGTTAGGTTGAGTTCATCAGATCCACATTTGCCCTTCTTGGGGGCTTTGAGGTATACCTGCTTCTTGCAGAACCGACTTAAGATGTGCCCTCAGTCCCCTTGTTCCTAACTTTGGTGGGTTGTCATCAGGAAGGATTTGGGGATCACCCACTATCCATATCTCAGTTACTGCTCTCTGCTAGATTCTGTACCTTCACTGGTCCTTGGTTTCCTCATCTGAAAACGGGGGCTTCCAGTCCTGTGTCTGTGACATGAGAGTTCTGTTACCCTTCAGCTCTCCTGACCGGGCAGCTTATATGAGTGCTGCGGCTGCTGCAGATGTGATAGAGTTAACCCACCCCTCCCTGCAAGTCTAGTGGCCAGTGATAGTTAGAATTGTCACCACTCCCAGCCAGTCTTCTGGTGTTTTTTTTTTTTTTTTTTTTTTTTTTAAGATTTATATGTTATGTATGTAGTGTTCTGTCTGCCTTGTGCCTGCCAGCCAGAAGAAGGCGCCAGATCTCATTACAGTTTCAAGTCACCGTGTGGTCCCTGGGAAATGAACTCAGGACCTTTGGAAGAGCAGCCAGTGCTCTTAACCACTGAGCCATCTCTCCAGCCCCCAGAAGCAGCTTCCTCCCTCTCTACTGCAAATCTGACTGTCGCCTATCTGTCCATGTTTCCAGTTTAACCATTTCCCAGTTTGTTGGCCATAGCCTTCCCTCTCAATTTGCCCATTGCTCTTTGTGCCCTGTATTCGAAAGTGATCATGGGCTGCCTGTGCCCTGGTCATTGATAGTTCAGGGAGAGGAGGCAGAAAGCCTTTCTCAGTGTTTGGAGGAGCCACACCTGTCCTTGCCAAACCCTGGCGCTTTTCCACACCACTTCCTGCTTGTTGAGTGCCTGCCAATGAGGTAGTGATAGGAATCTGGGGCTGGCCTCCAGGAGTTCATGGGTGGGGTGTGGAGCTCAGAAGCTTTCTCAGCCTCCACACCCATTGTCACCTCAGGACACCTGAGACCTTGTAGAAAGTGTTACCTTGCTTGACTCCTAGCATGCATCTCGCTCTTCTGTCAGTCTAGAATCAGGGTCTGACTGTGGAGCAAATAAAGACAGAGGACAGTCCCTCATAGTGAGGTATTGTCTCCTGTAAACTGGGTGAGCAGCTGGTACAAGAAGGTTCAGGAGGAAGCAGATCTGCTGTTCTCTCTCTGTTAGGAATTCTTCCCCTTGTGGCCTACCTTACATCGCTGCCTTGGGTAGCCACATGGGAGGGGTTTTTCTCTCCACTCTGGGAACAGGCCAGAATGAGAGCTGGACAACACAGAATAATTGATGTGTCTGTGCTACCTTTACAACCAGGTCCATGCCCAGTGCCACTAGAGGACAGTACTCCCCAGAGTACCATGGCCCTGATGTGCTTTTGAGCAGTCCACACAGCGGAGCATCAGGCTTGTCTCCAGAGAGCTCCAGTATCTCTTCCAGGTACGATGTGAGTCCATTGTGACCACTCAGGTAATCATAGCAGATAAGTCAGATGCCCAACCTGTGTTCAGAGAGGACTGCTCAGGATGTCAGTGCTTGAGCGAATCTAAAAACTGGCTCTGTCCAACTTGGAGCTTCTGCCTTTGAGCCCCTGGAATTTGCAGTTTTCTCTGTTGCTTTGGTGGCTGCGTAGAGGAGGTGAAGATGAGAAGGGGTTTGGTGTGCAGATCCTTCCAAATCCTGGATCATACCTGGCACTTCAGAGCCCTGCTATAAGAGGTCTTAGGGCTTCTCCAGTGTGGGTGAGCTGTAAAGGAAAGAGGAAGAGCATTGAAGATACCCGTATATTCCACCGTCCCCCTCTGACTTCTCTATGCCATTGCACCAAGTAGCAGTGATTTGTCAGCAGTGTAGGAAAAATACGTAGCTGGCTGACAAGGGAAATGAAGGACTAAGGGTAGTGTGGAGCATCTGTATTGGCTTCCTGAGGCACCCTCCTTCAGGACCCACTCCTCCCCCAGTGGCAGAAGTGCCTCCACATGTGTGCCTTGCTTCCCCCTGGGGAGCTGTATCTTGGTGGCTGACTTTTTTTTCTGGTGCTGGTCACATAAACATCGACTGTCCAGTGTGACTAGCAATCGAACCTCACTGGTGGAAAGCATGTTTGCCTTGAGCCTCCTGCCTGCAACCAGCTGATACCTAGCTAGTCCCCAGGCTCCACGAGAGGCAATCTTACATATTTTGAATCTCCATTTGCTGGCTTGGAAAACCAAAGCCACAAGCCACAACAAAGATCTTTTTATGGGCATGAGTTCATAGGACTGTCTTCAGCCCCAACAGTTTCTGGTAGTTTTGTCAGTTGAATGTCCCCTGTTCTTGGCAGGTTGATGTGGTCCCATGTAATTGATGTTAGCACAGGATCCATGTGTTCACTGTAGCTTACATATGGCCCTGGCATCAGTCTTTGTCTTTCCTAGGTTTCCTTTTGTCTTTTCTGCCCCTGTATCCGAAAGTGATCTTGGCTGCCTGTGCTCTGGTCATTGGTAGTGCAGGGAAAGGATGCTGAAAGACAGGTTCCTGGATTTGGGGCATCTGTTCTGACCTCCACAGGAGTGTAGGAGCCTTCCTACACTCTTCAGCCTTATAGCAGTCTGTCACTTTCTGGAAGCTACACAAGTCAGTGCTGAGTCTTTGCAGCTTGGTACCATGTTTCTAGAAACTTGTGAGGCGATAGGCCAGCGCAGATTTCCAAAGAGCCACATCTGAAGGCAATGTGCCCTGTCAGGGGAAGAGGGGAGTTAACAGGAGGGAAATGGGCCGAGTGAGCAAAGCTATGGGATAGGGCATGTCCTTAAGTGTGTGTTGAGAGGGGGAGCTCCCTGGTACAGAATATGCAACTCACTTCCTCACATTTGTGTGGCCTGAAATATGTATTGGCATCATTTGTGAATCACGGTTCTTAGCTATTTTTTCTTCTAATTGTCTAGCCCTTTCTTTAAAATGCATGGTTTGCAGACCAAAATACAACATATATTTTTTATGTGTATGTGTGAATGCATTATATATATTATACCATGTGTGTGACTAGTGCCCATGTTAGTTTATTTATTGGGGAATTAGAGTTTGAGAGGGCGAGTCCATGACCAGCATGGTGGCAGGCAGGCCTGTCCATGCTGGAGCATTAGCTAAGAGCTACTTGAGGCATAATCACCAGGTAGAGAGCTGACTGGGAATGGCGTGGACTTTGAAACCTCAAAGCCTTTTACCATGACACACCTCCTCTAATAAGGCCACACCCCCTAATCCTTCCCAAAGAGCTCTCCCAACTAGGGACCTAGTATTATATGAGCCTATGGGGTCATTCAAACCACCACACACGTCCAAACTGCTTCTTACCAAAACTAAAAGTGGGGAAAACAATTTCTTTAAGATCAGAAGTTACAGTGTATTCAGTATAGAGAGGAAGTAACCCCGTAGTCCTGAGGTGATAGCCAAGGCTCATAGCCTTCACCTGTGGAGGATGGGTAAAGAATATGGGAGGTGTGGGGCTGGGAATGTGTCTCAGTGGTAAAGCACTGGTGCAGTGTTGAGTGTGAATGAGGCCTTGAATTCCCAGAAAGGCTCCAGGAAGAGCAGCCATCTTGTAGCCCTCCCACCCTCAACTGTAGCTGTGTCTTGTTCTTGTTGAACCTCTTGGTGGACTGTGAGGTGCTTATTGTGACTTGTCTCTGTAGGATTGTCAGCTGTCTCTGCCATGTATGTCAGCAGTCCTTGAGTTTGAAGAAGTGGCCGGAACAGGGTCCTTGCCAGGTATGAATCCCAGATGCTTCCCAGGAAAGCACCAGTTGTGCAGCAAAGGCCTCAGTCAAGAGGAAAAGCAGAGGCTGCTTCCCTTCCCAGGCTGACAGGGACATGCCTCTCTCAGCCTCTGCCACCTCACTTCTCCTGTACATCTTTGTGGAGTGAAGTGGATGCTTACAGAGCCCCTGGGAAGTCATGTGCCCCTCAGCTCATTCGGGTGTGTTGCACTGTTGGGTGAGGAGGGACTACATTTGGGAGTGCAGGCAGCTTTCTCTGAGCTTTGGTGAGAAGCAGCCCTTTTCTGACTTGTAAACCTAGTGAGTCTTCAGAAGTACTCCCATGTTTGTCCTTTCCCTCGTTCTCTTTAGTAAGAGACCATTAAAGTAATGGTTCTCAAATTTCGGTTTCTGAAGTGAGCACTGCTAGCTTGGAGCATGTGAGAGATCATGCCTGGAGGGGATTTCTAGCAGTGCTGCATTTGAGAAGCTTAGGGAATTGGGAAACTACTTCAGTTAGAGGCTGTAAATAATGTCACTGTTTCCTGGCCACTTGTCACAGCTTGGCCCTTTCCTAAGCTGCCCATAGTTCCTTCCTTTCTGCCCCTGTATTCGAAAGTGATTCTGGGCTGCCTGTGCCCTGGTCATTGATACTGCAGGGAGAGGATGCCGAAAGCCTTTTCCCCGTGTTTGGAAGGTCTGCTGTCCTTGCCAAACCCTGGTGCTTTCGAACAAACGTTTCTCACAGCCTCTTGGTCCCCTGGCTATTGCCACCAGGCCCTCTACCAGCACTGGGCAGTGTCACAGAGGCTTGTGGAAGGGAGGTGGAAGCTGGTTTCTACCTTGAGGGGTTTTATTCTGGCCCAATTTTGCAATTATCCTGTGAGCCCCAGTTACATTCTCTTGTGGAACATCCTTCCCTGCCTCCCATGGCTACAGAAGAAAGGCCTCCAGGAGCCTATGTTGCAGAAGAGAAGGCTGGCATGCCCGCACTGTGCAGTGTTGGGAGATGGATAAACGTGGGCAATGGGGATTCTGGTCTCCTGAGCCCCCTGAGCCTGTCTAATTGTGACCAGCTTTCAGCCTCCAATTGGCTAACAACAGTGAGGCTCTGTGGTTATGTAGGTGGAGATCCAAAGCATTGTCCTCATTTTTTTTTTTTTAATAGGTGTTCGTGGACACCAGAGGGCTAGGGAGTGGGGGACAAGACCACCACTCAAAGTGAAACCGAAAACTGCCCACTCAAAGCCCGAGCGAGCATCATGGAACAGCTTTTTATTATGTATAGTAATGGCCCAGGCATGGGAGACTCCTGCACCTTGGAAGGCTGTGTCCTGTCCTCATCTGCTAATGCCTGCAATGACTAGTGACAACTTGTTGCCAATTTTTTTGCTACTTCCTCAATTGTGCAATAAACTTTACAGATTAATTCAGTCTGTCTTTTTAATTCCGGGTTACGTCATTAGCTCACGGGGCTGGGCGTGGAAAAGACCAGCTCCTGTCACTCCTTGTGCCTTGCCTGTTCTTCAGGCCTGGATTCAGGGTGATGGAAGTGGACAGAAAGGGCTGGTAGCCTTTGTGTATTTAGGACTTGTGAGAGTTGATGTTGCTGAACAGTCAAGGTCAGGATTTGGGAAGGTGCCTTGAGTCAGCTTTGGTGTGAGGTTGGTCCTGTGTCAATAAAGAAGGCTAGGGTGTCCCAGAGTTCTAGGACCAGTTGCAGGGCTTCCTAGGAAGTGAGACCTTGTTGCTAAAACTATTGAGGTGAATGAATGGGCAAAGGGACTGGCATGTAAAATGCATGGCATCCTGACAGAATACTGTAGAAATGGGGAAGTAGTTGCCATGGGAACTGGGGTATGCTAAGGAGGTTTTGGAGGCCTTTGAGTTATAGAAGTACTTCCATTGGGTGGGAGGGCAGGGAGTGGTGGAAGAGAACCCTTTTGAGGAATAACCATTGGGTACCAACAGTGGCAAAAGAGAATGGCAAAAATGAAAGTGTGCCCTGGGTGTTGGTGGCACATGCCGTTAACCCCAGCACTCGGGAGGCAGAGGGAGGTGGATCTCTTCGAGACCAGCCTGGTCTACAAAGAGCTAGCTCCAGGACAGCCTCCAAAAGCCACAGAGAAACACTGTCTTGAAAAACAAAACAAAACAAAAGGGTGCAATTACTGGTAGGTTTGTAACTAGGACTTTGTTATTTAAGAAATTAAGGACCTGTGGGATGACTTACTGGGTAAACTTGCTGAGTTTGATTCTCAGAAAATAAACATGTAAACAAATAGTAAATTTGAAAAGTTAAATTTTTTTTAAGATTTTTATTATGTATACAACATTCTGCTTCCATGTATATCTGCACACCAGAAGAGGGCACCAGATCTCATTACGGATGGTTGTGAGCCACCATGTGGTTGCTGGGAATTGAACTCAGGACCTCTGGAAAAACAGCCAGTGCTCTTAACCTCTGAGCCATCTCCCTAGCCCCGAAAAGTTAAAGAGAATTTCTAAATATTTTTAGCTTTATAAATGTCTGGGCAGAGGTCTGCACATGAATGCAGTTGCTCACAGAGACTAGGAGAGAGCATATGATCCCCTGGACTGGCCATATAGGTGTGCTGTGAGCCACCTGATGTGAATGCTAGGAACTGAACTTGGGTCCTCTGCAAGAGCAGTACTCATTCTTAACTAATGAGGCATCAGTTCAGGTCTGTGAGGAGGCTTTTAACTCAGTCTGTTAGCCAGTCTGTAGGTGTGGGCCGTTAAGATTCCCCTAGGGTTGTGGGAACACAGAAGGTAAATAAATTGTGTGGGTTAGTGCCAGTGGCCATGTCAGAGGAGCAACAGGTGGCAATTGACTTCAGGAGTTGGGCCCACCAGAATGCAGGGCACTGATGGGTGAAACTCTGATAGCAAGGCCCCGAATGTTTCGGCTCCAGAATGTCTTGTCACGGCTGTGCCTTTATTGTCACTTTTCTCTGGTATCTGACATGGTGTGAACGGGTTTTAGGGGGATCCCCACTGCCTGTAATGTAATGTGATTGTCTCATGGAAATAACCAGTTCCACTGGGCGTTTTTACCGTGGATTATTAGGAAGATGATTTCCTCCTAAACTGTACTATTTAAGCAATGGTTTTATACAATAATAGTCTTAGTTTAACCAAGGGATTATGATAGAGGTTGGTTTAATAGAAAAGTTAATGTAGGTAAAGGTAGGATACAGGGTTACCTCTGCCCCTGATAAAGCAGGGACTACAAAGGGTAGAAATAAGAACAAAGAAGCGTCACACAGCTAGGACTTCTGAGTTTTTCTTGAGCTGTATAGACTGGTTTAGGTTAATGATTAAGGAGAACAATAAGTCCCAGGAATTAGCTCAAGTTATTTTTGATGTTGTGAAATGTGTGCACGGGTTTCGGTGTGCAGAGCTTTACTTCATGTAACTAAAAACCAAAGAATTGGATGGTTAGTTGCGATAATTGGACAGGATCTAAAATATGAAAAGTGGAACTAGTGACCTGTTTTTCTGGCAATTATAAAAACTGCCTATGGAAACTGTTATGGCTGAAAGTCTCCTGATCCATGACAAGTCTAAAAGATAAATGTTTAACTGTGGATTCTTGGAGATAATTTGTTTTTCACCTGTAATAGTAAAATGTTTAATCATGTAAGGGATATGGAAAACATGTTGTGTTGTACTTTTATTCATTGAAATCATTTGCTTAATAAAATGTAACCACATTGTAATTTTCATATTGTTTGAAAGATTCTGTTGGGGCATATAAGCTGTAAGGGAAAAAAATAAGTCAGAAGGAAACACCAGCAAAGATGGAGGAGA